TTAAACCTTGTAGAGCCTCTTTCATCCTCTTTGTCCTTACCCTAGTCACTGGCCCACCGATTCCTTGCAAAGGATCTTGAGATTATTTGGGAATATTCGCTTGAGCCATTTGGCCAGCACCTCGATCTCCATTATTTCCTTAGTTGTGTTAGCCCATAAAATGTTCTTTCTTATATGGGGTAACATAGAATTGCACCGCTAGGTCATCACTATGTAATTCTCCTATACCCATCGGGAAGAGTTAATCTCAGGCTTCTTCTCTTCACTGGTGGCATACCTCAATTTTCCATGAACACCAAGTAGTTTTACCATCCAACTTAATTGTAGTTATTCTTCCTGCCCCAAAAGGGTCATTAGAACCTACTCCACCTAGTGCCATTTCACTTGTGGACTTGTATTCAACTCCCCTATCCTTCATAATTCCCATAATAGCTTAGGAAATCAACTATAGATGAGGAAAAATAGATTTACCCCCTTTATAGGCCTYAACCATCCTTCTGGTACCTAGAAACCTTTGCCCACAAAGATTCCTTTCTTTGTGGGAGTAGGTAGAAACAGGACAAAAGGCTGCCACTCCCTCCCGAGAACTCAAAAAGCTCTAGAATTTGAACCGCCCTCTTCAAAAATCACCAAGAAATCCAAAAACTCCAGAGCACCCCTTCCTAGGTCAAAATTAAACAGTCCTATTTCAATAAGGACTTTTCTTCCTTCTTCGGTTCTTCTTGATTTTGATGATTAACCCAAGATCTGACACAAAGGGTTCTAGATCCACAAAAAATCCAAGTAACTAGGCACTTTTGAAGTCTTTGATCAGCTCTCTAACTCACCATGCAGTTAGCTGATCTAGGGTTGCATGATGGAAAACTCAAAAATCTCAAAAAAACTGCGTTGATACCAAGTTGAAAAGAAAAAAAAAACAATAATCTGATTTGACAATTGTGAGAAAGAAGAGAGAGAAAATTCTTAGTGAGAAGAGAAGAAGAGAAAGAGAAGAAGAGGTGGGGAGAATCCAATAATGATCTGGATGCCCCACTTATTATCTTATTACTCATAAAAAAAGATTGATTACAAATGATTAAAAAGACTAATATGCCCTTAATAGGGTGGCTACTGTTCATAACATAAAAACAGCTCCAAAAAGCCTTGGGCCCAATAACACTAACTAATGACCCAATAACATTAACCAATTTTTATAAACAAGAAACTCATAAGAAATTGTTGAATCTGAACAGTCCATTTCACTTTTCCTTTTAGAAACAACCTTGAAATGATCCACAGAGCACTTAGTAATTTGTTATTGATTAGCCAGGGTATTACCATTCACTTCTAACTTCACAGAATTTTTTCTCCTACAATTAGCACGTGCATGGAAGAATTTAGTATTGCTATCCCTCTCTTTAATCCATTGATGCCTCTATTTCTGCCTCCAAATCTTTTTTCAGATACCATCTCAACATTCTATCTTCTCCTAACAGTGCTTGACCCTATTTAATATCCAACTGCTCTAATTGGAAAGTTACACATAATTTCCTCTCCTCAATTCTCCTAAAATGTTCTTTTTGTTCTTTGTTCTAATCTATGATCTTGCATTTGAGATTTTGTATCTTTCTGTGAAATTTTGCACCTCTCCAAAACATTCCCCTCACCTCTTCATTCCACCATTCTTCTACCTTGTGGAGGAATTCCGAGTGAGTCAGCCACATATTTTCAAACCTAAAGGGTTTGGGGCAACTTAGGAAGTCCTTAGTTCCAATTCTAATTGGGCAATGGTCATAAGTAACTCTCAGTAATGATCTTCTCATCAAACCTACCCATTGTTCATACCACCCAAGATTGAAAATGAAACTATCCAACTTTGAACACACTGGGGGACTTTGTAGATTGGACCAAGTAAAACAAGCCTGCAACATGGCAATCTCTTTAAGCTCACAATCCTTAATGAACCCATTAAACTTCCTCATACTGGATAACMYCACCTAATTGGGGCTATTTGTCTCACTTTTGAATTTAACCACATTAAAGTCTCCCCCTAAGCACCACAACTTATTCCATAAACTCCTAATATCAAAGAGTTCCTCCCACATTTTACCTCTCTCTCTCTCTACGGTTGTTTGGACCATATACATTTGTCAATGCCCATGTAAATCCATCACCCACATTTTTGAATTTTAAAGAAACTGAGGACCGACCTACTAGCTCTTCCAACAATTTCAGCACCTCAATCCTCCACATTGTTACCATACCCCCTGATGCCCCCTCGTCAGGGCAAAGGACCACCCTATACCCCTAGAGCCCCACACACTTCTCACCAATTTTCTATCCATTTTAGCCACTTTTGTTTCATGTAACATCACTATTATTGGGATTCTCCTTCCTTAACAAATCCTTTATTACCCACCTCTTTCTACCATTGCCCAAGCCCCTAACGTTCCAACTGATTTGAAGGGATGAGAGATCCATCATATGGATGGCCGAACCTTGTAGGAAGGTTGGGTAGAATTTAAAAAATTTCTCTCTCTCCCATCTGGGAATCGCATTCCCTATTTTAGAAAACTGCATTTTTAAGGATCAATCTTGAACCGAAACCAAACCAGATCAGAAACCAAAAGGGAGGAGAGGGATATACTTGATACGAAGTAGCAGTAACTCCCAATGAAGGTGTTCATGCCCAAGGAACCAAAACCTGCTTCCAATGAAGATGACATAGTGTGTGAAGAAGTAGGACCAGCAGGATGGCTCTTCAGCAAGAACCAGGATTCTTCAGCAAGAATCGAACAAGGGCTGGTGAGCACGACTTCAGATTGTTTCTTCAATCAAGAAACAATATCAAGAACCTTTCTTGATCTATTCCACAAGAGGAGATCGAATTGGGTAGGGGTACCAAGAATAGGAGAGAATTCTACAGGTTACTGTGTGTTAAAACTGAGGAATTCGCCCCCTATTTATAGTCTTCCTTGGATCAGCCTCCTAATCTAATTAGGAGAGAGTTTCTTGATCCAAATCTGATATTTGGATCTGGACTCTTACATGGATAAGACTTATCTTATCCTTTCAGTTAATCCTAATCAGATTATAAATTAGATCTTGCGTCCTTTTAATTAACTAATTTAAGCCCAGCTCGAATTGGGCTTTAGGCCCATTAAGCTTATGTGTTCACTTACCCCCTTAACCTACTACCTAGTTGGCTCTCTTTGTATGGCGCGAAACCCAAACATTGATCTACACATCAGCCACATGGGTTTAGCCTAGCCTTTGTTACAGGGCCTGGCCGAATTCACTGTAGGAGATAGTGAACTTCTAAGTCCATCACCATGGGCTCTTAAATGGTCCTTGGGTCCAGCCACCTTATGAAAACCCAAGGACTGTGGGCAGATGCAAGATTAGCCCATTAGGTATTACCCTCAATGGTCTTACACTTAACCTCTCAGCCATAATGATCAAACACTGCCT